CATAAGGGAAGCTGGGGGGGCACCACCGAGGTGCAGGTACCAGCCACATTCCCACTCCCCTGCACCCATGGGTGCACACTCCTGGACTGATGCTCCCATCCCTGTGAAGGACTGGAGAAAGGAGCCAGGATGTTGCAGGCATGGGGGTGCTTATTCACAGATTTTCACCTCTCCATGTTTGCTCCTCTCCACATCCCAGTGTTGTATCCCCCATCCCAGCGTTGTCTCCCCCATCCCAGCTGTGTTTTCCAGCCAGGGGCTCAGCAGTACCAGGTGGAAGCCCCAGCGTTTCCCAGCTCACCGCACAAAGCTTTCCGTAGGCTGCTGGCACTCACCTGAGCCGCCGCTCCTGGGCTTCCCACTCCCACTCGGACACTTGGGCTGAAGGGAATATTCTTTCTGGAAGAAAGGAGAGGGAGATGGGAAAGAACCGCATGGGTGTTGCTGCATTACAGGAGGTGAAACGGAGGCGGAGTTGCTGGTCATTTGCTACTGTCACTACAAAATTATTAATTTTTTCTTTACCAGGAGCTGTTATGTTTAATTGATGTGGAGCCTCCAGCGCAGGAGGTGAGGGACAGGCTGGTCCGCGTTCCCCTCTGTGTGGCATGTGCGTGTGTGTGCTTGCGTGTGCACAGCCATCCCAGACGTCGCTTAGACACGGGCAGCAGTTTGAGGGTCCCGTACAGCTTCTGCCCCCCGACCAGGCTGTGGTGGAGGAGAGGGCTGGAAGTGGGGAGGCTGTGCAGTTTGTCTGTGTCCCATGAGCTTGCCGTGGCAATTCCTCTCACATTGCCCATTGCCCCATAGCTGCACACTCCAAAAAACCATTGGGCTCGGCTCCAAACTGCGAAGGAGATGGATGCACATTCGAACTCCTCCTGGGAAGCCTCTGAACAGGCCGTGAGTTCACTGGGGATGTGTGACAGGGGAAAAGAGTATCAAGTCAAACCCTCTCTGAGCTCCTGAGTGAGTGTGGTTATGGCTGGCAGAGGTGGGAGTGGGAAAGGGCTGTGATCCATCAGCTTCTGCTTTCGACTGTGGAAAACAGTCGAATTGGGAATTGGCAAACTAATTTTTCTGGAGGTATTTTCTGCCTGATATGCCTTGGTTCCTGAGCAGCCACTCACCCGGGCTGCTCTCCGCAGGGACATGGCTTTCTGGGGTGCTTAGGACCTCCCGTCCTGAACCAAAGGACTTTTCATGGCCAAGCTCTTTCTCTGGGAGTTCCTTGCAAAAGGAATCACTTTGCTATCTAAATTAGTAAACGATCTTGCCCTTTGCTCCCGAGTCTTTGGGATTAACAAAAAGCCTTTGTATTCCCCGGTAGCTCCCTGCAGGTTACTGTGTGAAGGCTGGTGATTGCTGGGTGATGGTTACCTGGAGCGGCTCCTGCAGACCCGGAATTGTGTCATTCAGCTGCCCCCACAGTTCCCATGAAGGGGCTTCATGTCGCTTTATAAGTGACACGAGACCTCAGCCCAGCAGCACTCGTTGCGTCTCCTGCGCCCCGTGTTGCTGTGAATGCCGTGGGGTTCGCAGGCAAGGGTCTTGTTAGGAGCTGTCACCCCCAGCGGAGCGAGCCCAGGGGAGTCCCAGTGCCAGGAGCTGGCAGAAGAGCCGGGTGGCTCCGGCACAGCCCTGGCAGAGCTCTGGCATGGCTCCAGCACAGGTCTTGGGCGCATGTGGCCATGGAGGGCTTATTTAATGGACTTGGGCTCTGCCCTGCTGAGGAAGCGTTGTGGTTTTTTCATTCAACAGCACGTAAAGAATAAATAAAACTTATTTTTGGAGTGTCACCAGTGGGTGGCTGTAGAGGTAATTAATGGATGCTGGGAAGAGGAAGATGGCTCTGGGGGAGCCCGCAGCCAGGTCCCCGTTACAGGGGGACATCAGCTGCACTTTTAGCTGCTGAGTTACTGTGCTAGTGGTGCTGGCTGTTGTTGCTCTAGCCAAGTGGGCTATCGCTCTAGTGAGGCGCCGGGGAGCCTCGCTGCAAGCTGTGTGTTACAGAGCAGGCAGCTCTGCCTGCATCTTTATCAAACCTCTGCTCTCAGCATCGCTAGCCGTCGTGCCTGATCGGCAGACAAAATTCCATCCCCGCCGAAGTCACGCGGGGCTGGGACGTGAAGGCAGACAGCAGTTCACCTCCTGCTGCCGGGAGGTCTTGGAGGCCGGTTAAACATTTCCTGTGCTGGATTAATGCTGGACACTGGCTGGGGTGCTGCCTGCGACGGGGGAGACTGGCTGGGCAGCCCAGCCCCAGCTCCTGCTCCATGCACCCCGGCCCCCAGCACAAAATCCATGCAATCCCGCAGCAGCCTAGGAAGTTGTGGTGGTTGTGCTGTGGTGGTGACCTTGGTGGTGGCAAAGCTGCAGGCAGGGGACACGTAGGCTGGTCCCCGGTACTCTGTCACCTCCGTGGCTTGGGGGGGCTGGGGAAACACTCTTGCTTGTCTCCGCTTGAGCCATTGGTGTGTTTGCGGAGCCGGGCGGCTGCTCGCACCTCCCTGGCTCACAGAGGGGAGTTAGTGATCGCCCAGGCGGTAGAGGTTTGTGCCTCTGCTCCACATAGGACAAAGCGGGGGCTCCATCCCTGATCCAGCTGGGTGAGGGATGGCTACTCCAGGAGTTGGAGGGCTTTGCTTGTTGCAGTGAGGGCTCAGGGGGGAGGATGTCTTGCAGCAGATGGGTAGAAAATGCCTGCTGTTTCCCAGACCCCTCCCGTTTCCATGTGAACATCACTTCCGTGTGCAGCGTGACTGCATCTTGCCAGGAGTAGGAACGTTTTAATAAAATCTGGTCACCCTGTGCCCCTCTGCAGGCGAGCGGGACAGCACATGGGGCAGGAGGATGGAGGAGCTGCCCCGAGTCCACCCACCATGTCCATCGGTGCCTGCAGTGGCCCTGCCCGGGAATGTCTCCAGCCGGAGGGGGATCCTGGAAACATTGCTGGTGGGAGCAGGCACCCACAGGCCAGCTCCTGCCTGGGATCCTCAGGCTGCTTCCTCCACGCCAGCCTGGACACCGACCGCTTCAGCTGGAATGGTCTGGCTGTCCAGAGGGGTTAAATGCAGCAAAGCAGCGGGAAGCATAACTAGTAAGTAGTCACACATTGTCCTTTCACTGTTCTGTGTTACTCCCAAACATTCTGGGCATTGTTGTATCCCAGCAGGACCGTTCCTGGCCCTGTCTCCAATGTGCAGAGCAAAGAGCTCCTGCAGCAAATGTCAGGAGGCAGTTGGGAAGGTGTAGGCTGCTTTGAACCACCGGCTTTAAGCAAGCATCCTCCTCCACAGCCCCCTGCTCAGGAGTGCGATGCTCCTGCAGCTTAAAGCCAGCCTCCCCGTGTAAACCATTAATCACTGTTGTCCTACACATGGGTGCTCTAATATTTACTTGCAGCAAAATTGATAGCTGGTAATTTTGGACGGTGTTTGTGCTTTGATGAAAGCGGTTAGGGAAATGAGCCGTCAGCGCAGTCGGTGTGAGCCACGGAGAGGGCAAGGAGGGTGGCTGCAGGAGGGTTTGGATCAATACTGGTGCCATTAAGGTGCTGTATCGTAGCATGTGTATTGCCCTGAGGCCAAAGCCGGAGTGAATGAATTAGGCAAGATGTTGCTGCGATCAGATCACGGTGATGGAGAGGTATTAAAGTGTGCAGAACGCCACCCAGGCGTATGAATCTCCCGGTTTCTGGAGGGCAGCACCATTAGCAGGGTTGGAAGTTGCCCAACCTCTCTGGGAGTAGCAGAGGTAGCTCTGAGGTGGCTCAGAGCAAGGCACTTGGTGAGCTGCTGTAGCAGCTGCTGACACGGTGTGCAGTGAATGAACACATCCAGTGATTAAAATAGTCTTATGGCTTAACCCAGAAGCTGGGAGAGAAGTTGTCATGACCTGAGCAAGGCAGGGGTGGTTGGCAGATTGAAGCCAGGATTTGTGTGTGTGATGAAGCCACAAAACATGTAATTTAGAGGTTAGCCAAGTTGTGCTCTACCACTGC